AACAAGGAGTTCCTAGTGGCTTCACCAATGGAAGTGCATTTGAATGTATGAAGTAGATATAATTGCCTTGATAGGTCTGTGTAATGCATAGCCCCATGCTAGCTGCTATGAAGAAAATTAACTCTACCCTAGCCAAAACCAGCACAGGCCGCTACTGTTCTGAGGGCACTGGCTAATAGATAACACCTTGGTGAAAAATACGGCTTATGTTCCAGTGCACCTTGTGCTCTGATGCTCTGGCAGTCATGATCATCTCATCAATCTCCTGTTCTTGCAAGTGCTTTCTGCAAACCTGAACATGTCTTCATTTTGTTTCTGTATTTGAGCCCATGCTGAAGTTCAAAAATTTCTGGTGCTTCAGCTTTGTCCCAGTGTGCAATAAACCTTCATTTAGAGTCACAGAACTGAAAGCTGTTGACACTGTTAGGAGGGAAGTGGCAGCTGAGGATCGCCAGAGTGCAACGCTATATGCATCATGTACTCGAAGGTCTTAAACAGACCTTCTGGTAGGAAGAGATGATACTGCAGAAAGTTGGCCAGGCAGTGCTGCCTTTGATTTGTTCTGTGTATCACACAAGGGAAAGGTGTGGAGCTGAGAAGCCTTTGTATGTGGAAGCGCCAGAACCAAGACCTGGTCACATTGCAGAAACCCTGTTAGGTGTCTACATAGGTCTGAAGATTGATGCTCTGGAGTATGAGTCTTTGCAGCCCTTTGTTCCCAGGTGTGTTAGAGTTGCAGCATCATCTATAATATCTTTAATATCTTTATCAAAGATCTGGATGAGGGGATCGAGTGCACCCTCAGTAAGTTTGCAGACAACACCAAGTTGGGTGGAAGTGTTGATAGTTGGGTGGAAGTGTTGATCTGCTTGAGCGTAGGAAGGCTCTGCAGAGGGACCTGGACAGGCTGGATCGATGGGCCCAGGCCAATTGTATGAGGTTCAACAAGACCAAGTGCTGCACTTGGATCACAACAACCCCATGCAGCGCTGCAGGCTTGGGGAAGAGTGGCTGGAAAGCTGCCTGGTGGAAAAGGACCTGGGCGTGTTGGTCGACAGCAGGCTGAACATGAGCCGGCAGTGTGCCCAGGCGGCCAAGAAGGCCAATGGCATCCTGGCCTGTATCAGAAATAGTG